GCATCACAATATATAAATTTTATTCCCATAAATAAAATAATTTTCTTTTTTCAATGATACGTATAATCTATCAATCTCTAATTCATATCTTATTTACGAGACTATACAAAATACGAGACATGTGAATAATTATCTCAGATTACCTTTGTTTTAATAATTCACATGACTCATGAGTACTTTAGAATAAAATTTTGAAAAACAATAAACATAGAGAATCATGTGAATGATAATTTATTGTACCAGCTTGTTCACGTGAACGTCGTTTATTTAAAAAATTATTTCATGTTTGTCTGCTTTTGGTACATGAAGTTTAGCCTAGAGTACAGCCAATCGAAGCAGAAACAGTCCAAATAAATTAATGTGGAAGGTGAACCTACTTGATTAATTTTAATTTGGTTAAAAGTTTTAGTCAGATAGTCAAATATACACGTTTTATTAGTGGCATTATGTATCTCACGTGTGGTATACTAAATTATGGGCTCCCTTTTTTTTTACTTGAAGAAAAATAATAATTTATATTTAGAGAAACGCGTAAATTCAAGATATAGTTTAAGTTTCATTTTACGTGTGATTTAAATTCAATATTGTTACAAATTTAACATAATTTGTCGATTAAAAACATATAATATATTCTTATAATATGAAAGATCGTTCCATGTTACGATAAAAATTGAAAATTTTATAGGGTAAAATAGGTATTTGGCCTGTCGAATGACCTTTTGAGTGTTATTGGCTTAGTTTAATTACTTTTCTGTCACAAACAAAAGAAACATGATTTTACTAGATAATTTTGTATAGTTGAATAATGAGTTAGATAAGTTTGTGAAGAAACAAACTATTCCCGCCTCACGCTATGTAAGACAATCAATTATAATGGAGAGGAGCCGGATCCCCCCCCCCTTTTTTTTATAAGTTCTGCAAATACATTTGTTTTCTTTCTCCTACTTCTTGCCTGATTTTCGATAGCTGACATTTGACTGAAAGAAGAAGACCAGCAAATACATGTAAAAAGTCGTATTCTTCCCGTGATATGTTTTTCAATAAGCATGTAGTATAATTTAGGTTTTTTTTAATTAATGAAATAGGAAGATTGACATATCGTATTGGTGCATAGTGGATGAAATTAACGCTTATATTCCAAGTCTTGTGTGATAATTAAGAAGATCGAAGTTATCAAAATTTATTGACAAGTTGAATGCTGGATAGACCAACTCTGTTGTATGTGGTGGAGTACTCGTACGTTCAAAAGATAAATGTTGTGGAAATGATGTAGTGCGGTGGATGTGTGAGTGCATAAAGAGATAGAACTAGAAATGAAGATATCCGAAACAAGGTCGTGCGATCAGAGTGACCTTGTTGGAGGACAAGATGAGGGAAACAAAAATGAGATATATGATTCGGACATGTGAAGAGGATTAGAGATGTACTAATGCTCCAATGTAGAGGTGTTGGAGGTTGACTATGGATGATTTTAGGAGAGGTAGAGATAGATCAAATAAGTATTGGGGAGTGACATGACACAATTTCTTCTTATCGAGGGCATGACCTTAGATAAAAGATTATGAAGGATTACAGAGGTAGTAGGTTAATTAGTAGGTAGTACTTGAGAATTGTCACACTTATATCCTTCCATATATATTATAATATTATTTATGTAGTTTCTTGTCCTCCGAATTATGTTATTATCTATTATTTCTTATATTCGATTACTATATTATTTTGTGGTATATTATTGTTCCTCTTTTCATATTTGCTTTATCATGCTTTATATATTATAATATCAGCACTTTTTCACTTGTGTTTTTCTTTTTCAATTATATTGTTTTGTTTTTTTCTTGAGTCAAAAGGTCTATCGAAAATTAACTTCTCTCCATCTTCCAAAGTAAAAGTATGATCTACATACTAAATACACTATAGTTTCTTTCAACTCCATTTATTAAATTATATTGAGTATGTATTAGTACACTATAGTTTCTTTCAACTCCATTTATTAAATTATATTGAGTATGTTTTGTTGTAGTTGTTTTTATGCTAGTCCTAGTAGTAATTAAGAAATGTAAATGAAAGACTTATTCCATGACAATAATTGACATACGGCATGATTTCCATGCATTGTATTTGATAATAACAAAGAAGAAAACTATATTCTAATCATATTAGTTGTTTGTTAATTGCTATAAATAATGATAAAATACTCCTAGTAGTACAAAAATTGTTTTAACAATTTTTTCACAAACTCCCAATGTGGAATCTTACTTTTCACGTATCTCAAAGGCTAGTTTTAATTTGATAATTAAAATATTATAATCCATCGTGATAACCACCACCAGCATTTATGGTAGGTTAATAACCTAGTCTAATGGGGAAAAAAACTGATTTTAGTTTTCGTAATATTTGATCATGTATATATATATATATATAGTGACGGGTCGGAGCTAGAATTTTTAATAAGGGAATTCAATATCTGAAAAACTAAACACACCAATTAATCGAAGGAGGTTCAACATCTATTATATATATATATAAAATAATTCTAACCATGTATAAATAGTAAAATTTTCCACCAAAGGAATTCCCTAATAGTAAAATATATATATCCGTTTTCTTACGACTAATCGAATCTTTTTTAAAGTATTAAAAGTTTATGTACTATATATGTTAAACGTGTATAGTTACTACATTTTAAGGGCAATATATACCTTTTAAAACATTCTAAATATATTAATATAATTCTTACCTAAAAAGATCAAAAGTATATATTTTTATTCGTCGAAAGTTAAATATGTTAAGTGTCAAAGATGATAAGGACCAAAACAAGAATTTAAACATTTTAGAGACCAAAAATATTACTTCCTCTGTCCTAGTTTATATGATTCACTTTTTTTTTGTCAGTTTAAAAAAGAAATGACATATTTTTATATTAAATAACAATTTAACTAAAAAAATATTCATTTTACTATTAATAAAATAATTTATAGTCACACAAATTTCTATCATTCATTTTAGACCTCAAGATTTTAAAAAAAATTCTTTTATTTTTTAAACTTTGTGCCGAATCAAACTAACTCATAAAAAATGAAAGGGAGAGAGTGTTATTAAAATGAGAAAAGCACTGTTCACATTACTTTTTTGTGCAGCTTTATAGTATACATATAAGATCAAAGATAGGTCATAGTATATATTACCGTTTGAGCAGTAAAATGTCATATTTTAATTTTAAAACAATTCTTTATTTGGAAGAAAAAAGAAACTATTGGACACCATCTTTATAAATATCACCAAAAAATATGGTGCGATGGATATGACTATTTCTTTCATAATTACAAGTCACAGATTTGAGCCCTAAAAATAGAAAAATTCTTGATAGAAAACACTTCCCCTCAAATAGGATCCTCCTCCGTATGAATTTTAATATGAATATCTGAGTGGGAAAAATATATATTTACAAATTATGTGGATTCTTTTACTTGTGGAGTATGCCTCTTTCAAAAGGATTATCCACTCTAAACAACACCAATCAAATGATCCATTAGTGATGAAACAAAGTTAAATATGTGGAGCAACTCTTTCCTTACCTACTCCCGCGCCTCAATCCCTTTGAAAATTACCAAAACTTAGAAGAAAAAAAGAAGAGATTTTGTAAAATAATATAATACATAAACAGACTCTTTAAGCTGATAACTATATATATTTTTAATTTTATGTGTGTACAAATAAATATTTGAACTTGTATATAATTATATAAGTAAACATATCCTACATAGCATAATACAAATCAGCTTGAATATATCTCATCATAACAATATCGGACATTACTAATACATCATATTCAATAGTATTCTTATATATACTCCTACCAATCACCTTATTCACTATTGTTGTTCTAATACATCCTATTCATTTAATACAACAAGCTCAACCATCAATAAAAAGTTATCAGCATAACAATTTTGAACATTACTAATACAACATATTTAACATTATTGCTCTTATATTTACCTTACCAAGCATCCCAAAAAATTCTCTGTGTGGAAGAGTAAAGGTGGCTTTTTTTTTATGATTGTGGTTGTCCGAGTCAGCTTTCGTGCACCTCAACTAATTTCACAAGATATTTCCTACCTCTCATTAGCAATAGGTATCAGATAACCCTATCCAACAAGGCTAAGACAAATAAAAAGAATCACCTAGTGTTTTTTCTATCTCTGTTGAGTTTCGAACCTAAAACGAGTTTTCAATCACTTTATTAATCAGTGTGCCACACCGTTAGAAAAACGTGGATTTTACTTTAATAAAGTGAGCATAATTGCCAATTTGCAAAAGTTTGAAATTTTAAAATAAGATACCCTGTATATAATGTTCCCCACTAGTAATTTACCATTTCATCATCCTCCCTAAACTTCTAAAACCTATCTCTAAACCCCCACCCCCCCCCCCCCCCCCCCACCCCCCCCCC